ATACAAGGAAGAAAAATCCGTGAATATTATTATTATGCAGAGGCTACAAAAGAGAAACACAATCCATTACGAGTGCAGACAAAAGAGAAACACACTCTATTACCAGGGCAGCTCGAAACATTGCATCAGGATCAAGAATATTAAATGAAACAAAACACTAAAACAAAAGAGAAAATACTGCTTTTATAAATTAACTCATAAATCGTTGTAACCCAGAAAAGGTTACTGAATAAAAATAAACAAATCGAAGGTTGGAGATGGAACGGTAACATTAACAACATACACGATTCGCCAGTGGCGTGTCGTAAGTAATCCACTACTAGTGTTGAATATATTTACCAACTTCCCCATAAGTTAAGATGTGGAACAAGGCCGAGTTTTAAAGTGGGGGGGGGGGGTCCGAGCCCGTAGGCTAGGCCAAAAATTCCCGTATAAAACAGGATCAGGTAGCTGTTCCCCGAGACGAGACTCTGCCCTTCGACATAGCCTCGTCTAGGGAACATCTCTGCTCGAAGGCAAAGAGTTTGACTAGTACAGCTGGAGAGGAATCTCCAACTGCAGAATATCTACGAACCGCTTCCCTCGATCAGATGTGGCACAAGGCCGAATTTAATGAGGTGTATCCGAGCCCGTAGGCTCGAGCAAATATTCCCCACAGACTCCGTATAAATGGGGTCTGGTAGCTGTTCTCCGAGACGAGACTCTGTCCTTCGACATAGCCTCGTCTGGGGATCCTCTCTGCTCGAAGGTAGAGAGTTTGGCCAGCACATCTGGAAAAGATTCCCGCTGGTCTCCGATCCAACCCCGGAAACCAGTGTTGAATCCCCCTAGAAAGTATATCCCACTGTATTTATGAAGATTGGAACATACCCTTTATAGTCCATGGGTACGATATAACATTTTGGTTTACTAATTATCTCTCAAATACAAGAGCCACTCGAACGTTACTGAATTATATTATTCCATGAGTATACGAGATGGAAGTAAGAAGTGCATTCTTTGAGCATTTATGGGGAAGATAAGGGTTAACCCTAGATTTGAGGAGATTAAGATTGTAATAACATGGGAGTTTCCCTCTCCTGAGTCTATTCCACAAAGTAGGAAGAAGCTGTCCGAATTAAACTTCCTTCTTACTAATGAAATACGAATGAAACGGGTATGATTCGTCCCCGTGAATGTGAGTTTTAACACTGAAGGTCTGAACTGGTCGGACGAGCAGAACTAAGTGAAGATAAATGCTGATATGCAAGAAAAGGTACGGTAAAATAGGAACTATTATATACTGTGCATTCGAACGAAAAGACGGATTCTGGTATTTTTTAAATTAGAAAATTTGTAAAAGTTTTGACAAAGCTGTTTCAACAGCCCAGAGGGTGAGGTAGCAAAAAAGTGAACAATTGTGAAAATACTCCAACCTCTCACAGGAGTTGAGAAAACTTGGAAACAGAAAATCTGGATGGATCACTGATATTTGCCGTAACTGTAACGGTGTAAACACTATCAGAAGCGAGAACATTTCCTGACAGGTCACTAGAGAATCTGGTAGAAGCCCATATGTGCATGAATAATAATAATAATAATAATAATGAAGAATAAGAAGAACGAACGAACAAACGAAAGAAGCAGATGTAGACCAACAGAAAACATATCATTGGCTGAGACAGAAAGCCTAATCAGTGCAGCTCGGGGACCAAAGCTTCACACCCACATCCTATCACTTTCACATAATCAAGGATGAAACTAACCCGAAATGCAGGATCTGCGGAAAATATGATGAAACTGTCGACCATGTAATCTCAAGATGTCCAGAACTAATAAAAATGAATATACCCATAGTCAAAATAAGTTAGCGACATATGTGCACTGGAAGCTAAGCAGGAATCACAAAATCGAAACCACTCAGACATGGTATGAATACCAACCAGATACATTTACCCAAAATAACGATGTAACTATCCTCTGGGATATGCCAATTCAAACTGACAGGGAAATAAAACACAACAGACCTGATATCATCATAAAAAACAGGAAATTCAGAAAGTATGCTTATTGACATAGCAGTACTCTCTGAGAGAAACACCTCCATAAAAATTATCGAGAAAATAGGAATACAAGAACCAGGAGATCGAAATTAAGAGGATGTGGGGAATGAAAACTGATACTGTACCAATAATAACGGGAGCACTAGGGCTCGTGACAAAAAGAATGAAAAATTTCACTAACATTGTCCCCGGTAACATCAACGTACAAGTTGGCCAGAAGATCGCCACACTAGGAACATACCATATGCAAAAAAAAAAAATGCTATCAGTTAAATGACAATTCTCCTGTAGGGCCTAAGGACCATAGTTTGGACCCGGCTCTACAGGATACAAAGCAGGAAACATAACATACACAAATAATGATAATAATAATAATAAAGATGTCAAACATTTTTTTCTATACCACCTAAGTTGTGTATTGAGAAAATCAGAATAAAGTTTACTATCCAATCGCTTCAGAAGTCTGCATTGCCTGCTACCTTTCTCTCTGTCCGATGTCGTACGATTTGATGGAGTACACCTATAACGCAAGGTCTCCATCAGATAACGAAAACATCGCGAAAGATATTAATGATAATAACAATAATAAAACATGTCACTGTAGCCATCAAACCAGACATCATCATTGTTGACAAAGCGACAAGAAAACGCCTCCTTTTTGACGTGACTGTTTATGCTGACCATAATATCAAGTGAAAGAAATAATCAAGTTGAAGAAATATACCGACCTATAGACTGAAATTGTCGGTGTGTGTTATGTTCAGCCCACTATTATTAGTTATTATCGAGGTGCTGTGGTCTATACTACTGAAATTAAAGTCCTACATTGCGAAAATAGGAATAAAGACAAGTATCCGATCACTTCAGAAGTCTGCGTTGCCTGGTACTACAGATATTTTATGAAGGCTACTACCTATTGGAGGTCGTACGACATACAGTGGCGTAGCTAGTGGGCGGAGGCGGCGGTTCGCCCTGGGCGGCACTTTTGGTCTACGGTGAGTTTTCAGAAAAGATAAAAACAGTAGCATGGCTTCAATAATTTTTGCAAAAAAAAAAAAAATGAAGCAGCGTTAAGGAAGAAGATAGGATCCAAATGAGCCAATTTGTCTTTGATATGGCTGGCTTAAAGCCAGCAATAAAAAAAAATGTATGCAAAACACGCTGTCAGCTGGTGGGGATAAACCTCACTTATAAGTCGTGAACAAAAGGTGTGAAAAAAAATTGGAAATATTTAAAGGGCTTGATGTGGGGTTAATTTTTAAGTGAAATTAATTTTATCGGACTTTTAATTCTTAGTCTACTACTTTGCTAATAATAACTTCAACTACGTAAAATAATATTAAGTCATTGCATTTTTTACATTGTTAAAAGAAAAACGAACCGTGTTTCTACTAACGTGGTATTTAATTTATAACTCCTCACTTGTTGGAATTGAAAAAAATATTTAAAAAATTTTTAATTATGAATTAAAAGTATTTTTTTCAAACTGATGAACGCTTTTTTATTTAAATGAATAAACGCACGATATGAAATGTGATAGAAGGGAAGGAGAAACGCAAGGGTATTGGAAATGTATCGGTGGAGGATTAAATGAAATGTACGCACTTTCTTGTCATTCTGTTTCAAATGAACTGAAAAGTAAATTTTTAGCCTTATGCAACGAGTCATAATCTTAGTTCTCTCATTGGGGTCTGAAAATGTTATCATTGCTAACTTTTCTTGTTGACAAATGTTGCAGATATTACCACGGTTGTTATAAGGTTTCACTTTTTTATATTTTACAGTTTACAATCGTATCTTTGTTATTTTTTTCTTTCAATTTCCACACATGGTTGGCTAGTCTGGTAGAAATCCTTAGACATTCTTGAACGATGACTGGTGATTATTATATATATATATATATATATATATATATATATATATATATATAATATATATATATATATATATATATATACAAATATAACGTTTGGCAGTTAGCTGATTGGTGTTACCTTCAGCATCCTGACTCCAGAGTTTCGTAGAAGGGCCCTCCAGCAATCAGTCCGTTTACTCCTCAAGGAGTATCAGCATTTGAATACATTTTCCCGACTGTATTTCTTATTATTTACAATAAAAATGTATTTTTATATATTTTTTTTGTTTTTTTAGTGTTGCATTCATTATCATTTTGCTCTAAATATGTAATGTTTCTCATTTTATTATGAAAAATGTACAGTTGATCTTTGTTTGGGAGTTATTATTTGCTCATATCTGAGATCCTAACAGGTACTACATCAACCGGTCAGGGTAGACCTGGGAACAACAGCAATTAAACGGTGGTTCCACGTTCTCAAAACTGCAATTCCCCGAAAGGAGCCTTACTGCCCGATGTAGTTTATCGTCATACCCAGGAACCTTATTTTAGTGAATAAATGTATTTGAGTCGTTATCTTTTTTTGTTTGTTTGTTTTTTCTTTTTTTTTTTTGTCTTTAGACGATGAAATTAATTATTTTTATAGTAAGCTGCAACCACAATATATAACGGTTTTTATATTATTAATATAATAAATTATAATATGATCTTATAATATAATATTAGTATTATATATTTTTAATATTATGTACATAATATACAACCACTACACATAACGTTTATAGTAATAAGGCATATCCGATAAACAAATTCGATTCAAAAATTATAGTTTTTGCGTTTCGAGTACTAAATTGAAGCTCACAGATAGAGATTCTTTACATTATGTGCATTGTTCAGACTGTTGTCCTCATCTTTATTGTCATGTTCACGACGTTTCGGCCGCTGTACGCTCTGGCCTTTTTCTGAACCCTTTATTTCGTCCACAGGAGTAGATCGTTCTCGTTCCACGTGTCATGCCTCTTCCGGATGTCTCAGTTATCTCCTGTTAAAATATTTGTTTAACATAATTCCTCTCTTGTGTCTTTATTTCTGGCACTAACAAGTCCACAACACTATCTATCTATCTATCTATCTATCTATCTATCTATCTATCTATCTATAATGTAATTTACCCGCATACGCAAGAACTCTTCAAGCTATAAATAGGAGCAGTTGCTGCTTTTTGAAGATGGAAGTTTCTAGCAGTCAGCTCTGAGAGTACGATCAAAAATTTTTGTTGTAGTACTCTCGTTTATATATGTTTGTACTACCGTTTCCGTTAATATATTTGTTTAACTCAATTCCTCTTTTTGTGTCATTATTTCTGGCCTTAACAAGGCCACAACACCATCTAGCTATCCATCTCTCTCTCTCTCTCTCTCTCTCTCTCTCTCTCTATCTATCTATCTATCTATTATAGTAATTTACCCACGCATGCATGAACTCTCCCAGTTATAAATAGGAGCAGGTACTGCCTTTTGGAGATGGAAGTTTCCAGCAGTCAGCTCTGACAGTCGGACCGAGCCTTCTTGTAACACTCTCGTCTGTATATGTTTGTATTACTGTTTCTGTTAATATATTTGTTTAACTTAATTCCCCTCTTGTATCTTTATTTCTGGCCCTAACAACGCCACCGCAGTTTTGTTCAAAAAATTTCCTTAAGACATCCCCGTTATTCACATACTTCATTCATGATGGTCTCAATTTCCTTCTGTCGAAATCTCCATTTTAGATTCGAAAAAAACTGTAATGCATTCGCTGCCATAAAAGTGGACTGATATTGCATAGCAGTTGAGCACTCTTTTCCTGTTTTATAATGCAAGTGTCCTGTTTCTTAATATTTTACTTAGCTTTTTTAAGTCACCATTTTTGAAGGCATCTTTAAGAAACAATTTCAGGAACAGACATTTTACATCGAAACCATCACTTGAACAAATGGTTTGCTCGGATTGCTCGGTGACCATTGCTCTAGAGCAGGGGACCGCAAGCGTTCAGATTTTTCTTTCTAGACGACAAGCCCTTAATTAATCTTAACGAAGCCAACACAAACCTGATGGAAACAAAAAAATGCAAATTCGTTTTTGAAGATGAAGGGAAAGCATTCTTTGATATGTTCGTAGAATGAATCGACAATTTTCCTTTTTCCGTTTCTCACAATTCTCCTAACAAAATTCAGATGATTACATAAAATCAATTTTATGTTCGATATTTGTTCCCTTATTTCGATTTTTGGACTATTTCACAAGCCACATATTTTTATTCTCTTCTATTCACGATTTATTCCTCAATTTTCTGATTTGTTTTGTTGGATTCTATCATTTGCATTATTTACTACAATTAATCTTCTTTTATTCTTCTTCTTCTTCTTCTTATTATTATTATTATTATTATTATTATTATTATTATTATCGACCAAATTTTTCCTTTTTACCAAGTTCTTTCATCTTCTTCTTCTTTTTATTATTATTGATCAAAATTCACTTTTTTCTTCTTTACCAAGTTCTTTCTTCTTATTCTTCTTTTTCTTCTTCTTCTTTCTGTTTCTTCTTTTTTCTTCTTTATCAAATCCTTTCGTCGTCTTCTTCATTATTATAATATCACTTCTTTTTTAGTTCTTGTTATTTATTTTCTTCTTCTTCTTCTTCTTCTTCTTTTTCTTTTTCTTCTTTCTACTTTACCAAATTCTTTCTTCTTCTTGTTCTTCTTGTTCTTCTTCTTCTTCTTCTTATTATTATTATTATTATTTACCAAATTACTTCTTCTCTTTTTTTATTTACCAAATTCTTTTTTCTTTTTATTTACCAATTTTTCTTCATTTTTTTACCAAATTCTTTGTTGCTTATCTTTACCAAATTTTCTAATTTAACGAATTGTTTCCTCTTCTCATAGCAAATTCTTCTTCTTCCACTCCTTTACTTACCAAATTCTTTCTTCTCCTTCTTTTTCTTATTTCTTCCAAATTCTATATTCATATTAACAATTCTTCATCTTAATCTTCTTCTATTAAATCATTTCTTCTTCCCCATCATCTTCTTTTTTCATCTTTACCAAATCTCTGCTTCTTTTACCAAATACCTTTCTTCTTCTTCTTCTTCTTCTTCTTATTATTATTATTATTATTATTATTATTATTTTATTTATTATCTTATTATTATTATTATTATTATTGACCATTTTTTTTCTTCTTTAGCAAGTTCTTTCTTGTTCTTCTTTTTCTTCTTCTTTTTCTTCTTCTTTTTTATTCTTTACCAAATACTTTCGTCGTCTTCTTCATTATTATAATATCTCTTCTTTTTTATTTCTTGTTATTTATTTTCTTCTTCTTCTTCTTCTTCTTCTTCTTCTAATTATTATTATTATTATTATTATTATTATTATTATTATTATTATTTCTGTTTTTTCTTTTTTCTTCTTTACCAAATACTTTCGTCGTCGTCTTCTTGTTTAATATATTATCTATTCTTGTTAAGTTCTTGTTATTAATTTTCTTCTTCTTCTTCTGCTTCTTCTTCTTCTTCTTCTTCTTCTTCTTCCAAATTTACATCTTTATTACTAATTTTCTCCTCGTCCATCAATTTTTCCTCTCCTTCTTCATTTTTTTTAATCAACTTCTTTTGTTTCCTTTTCCCGATTCCCGTTTCGTCTACTTCCCCATCTCCTTCATTCTTTCACTAATTTTCTTCCTCTTGATTTGTCTTCTTTTCTTCTCCATTTTTACTTCTTTTCCTCCATTTCACATTTTGCTCCGACCTAATTCCTTATTTTACCGCCATTGATATACTTTCTAAAATTTCCTGTCATCATGGCCACGCTTTGTCGTCTGTCCTTTCTCTGTTTTCAATTTTAATTTCCTTCCCTTCTCCATTTCACAATTGATCAACCCAAAGCAACTTGGGCCAATGAATTCTTCATAAGATATGACAGTTACCAACTGCCTTTTGTTCTTTCTTAAATGTTTAAAAGAAATGTTGTCACAATTCCGGGAATTATTCAGAGCGTTATAATTCTCTTTACATTATTATACTTTTAGATTCCGTATCAAGATGACAATGCGACGCTTTCAGAAACAAAAATAAACTATTTATTCGATAAAATTTCTATTACGTTCTGACCACCTATAATCCCTTTCTTTCTGATTTGCAAGTCATTTCTATAGATAAAATAAGTATTCATTTGCAAATTCACTATTAAGATCATTAACGATGTTATTAGTAACGTTCCGTTACAAACCAGTACACCATTAATTTGTACTTTTCATCGCTATGAACGGGTGTTCCCTCAACAAGTCCTCTTTGTCTTGAACGCCTACTGGAATTACGACCCCCATATCTTCTAACTGGATGGATAGCGGAGATAGAGGAGGATCGCAACCTGTATTATTATTTTTTACGCAATTATTTCGACAATTTTCGTTCCCCAGGGGTCTGTTTCCATTTGATCAGACGGTCAAGCGGGAGGGATTTGCGTAAAGAACGCACACAGCGGGTGACAAATAACAGAAACACATATATTGAGTTAACGATTAAATAAATTCATTACAACAGGAAAATAACGAGAAAGATACGGTGAAAACAAGAGCAATAAATCAAAAGGAAATGTTGTGGAACGTAAGAACGGGAGGTGAGGATCTATCCTCTCAGAAAAGTAACTAGTTGATTAATAAATGATCTTAGGACAGACCTGCAGGCAAATCTACAATATGGCAAAAGGCATTGAGCAAAGTATAAACATGTAAGAGAAACAATGACTTACGTTTGACGAAGATATTCGCTTCGTTATATTTTTGTCAAGTTGGTCTTCAGGTATATTAAGCTGTTTCTTGAAGAGTGCAGCTTCTATATTGATGCAGTGGATTTCGTGTTTTAATATTTGTAGGAGAGGGTCATTGATTTTTGTAAGGTAGGCTTCCAATCCGATTGTTGTAGCTTTTTAGAGTTAGTTCAAGTTGGATTAGACCACGGCCTCCTAAAGCTCTTAGTATTCCCGGCCTATCAACATCTGATGGTGCATCCTCAATTGTGTAAACATTTTTCTGGCCTTGGCATCCAAACTTTTAATGTCATTCAACTTCCATTTGATAATGTTGAAGCTACGAGTATAGCTAAGGTGTTGATAGCCTTTATTTTATTGGTCCTGTTATGTTCGCTTTCTAGTATTAATAACACTACCGTAGCATATTTTTCGGATCTTTTTCTTCATAGTTGAATGTTGTATTCCGTCTCCTTAATTCCTAAGTATTTTTTTATGTACCATCCTGGTCTAGTGACTTAATCTTGTTGATATCAAGGTCTAAATCTGTAGTTTTCATTAGTTTACCGCATTTGAAGATGGCTTTGGAACATTAGTCGAATCCAAACATCATCCTAATTTCTTCACTGAAGGTTTTGACAATGATAAGTAAGCTTTTTTTTTTCTGGTTGTCATTAGTTTAGACCAGGTGTTACAGTTAGCCATTCTGTGATTTGTATTCAAAGCTATTGTTGTTCTCTAGGCAGCTGAGTGTATTAATGCAAAGCGGAACAGTAGTGGTGACAATGAATCTCCTTAGAATATTCATCATTTGATGTTGATAGGTCTCGATGATAATGACCCGTTTGTATAGTTTAGGCTAAGAGTAGTGTTCCTGTTTTTAATGCTATTCGTTATGAATGACCGTTGCGTGGCATACTCTGTTTCTTTTTAGGCTTTTCTCTATCTATGCGTGTGCTACACTGTTGAGTGCCTTTCTGTGGTTGATCCATGATATCGATAAGTCTTTTTTTCTTTGTTTTCACCTCTTTCAATATTGGTTTATTGATAATTAGTTGGTCCTTGCACCCGTAACCTCCTCTTTTACAGAACCTCTGTTCTGCTGTGAAATAATTGTTTTTGATTTCACGGAAGTTTTATTTCCTCTGGATTATGATAGAAGTGAGGATCTTTTACATTGTAGGTAGGCATGTGATGGGTCTATAGTTTTTTCGGGTTCTGCATCTCTTCTGTTTTGGGGAGTAGGTATGTTACTATGCACATGAGCCATTTGTGGCATTTTTCTGGGTTTATGATAATATCATTGTATGCCAGTGCGAGAACTTGGTGGGCGCTAGATAGTTTTATATCCTGATGTAATAAATATGCATCAACCTGGTCCCCCCTCACGGTAATATGATTGGCTGGTGTCAGCCATAAATACAGACTGATGTGGAGGTACAGGGACGACGCCTATTGGCTAAGCCTATAGTCTTCACCTATTGCCTACGCCGATTGCCTACCACTACGACGAGGACCAATCCATTACGGTTACCTGCTAGATTGTCAACAACCACTTTGCTACTTCGAACAAACATATCCCTTTCCGGGACATATCATATCCAAAGATTGGCTATTCGGTCTCTTCCTGGTTCTTTCCAATTTTTTGCTTTTGCAGATGGCAGCGGTTGTTTCATTTTTGGCACTCTATATGTGTGTGTTGTTCCTGTTGTTGCTTGATCGATGTGGCTCTTTCATTGTGCATTTTGCAGTTTTCTCACATCTTACACCATAACTCCTCGACTTTATTATTATTATTAAACAGATTATTTCTTCTTTTTCTTCCTTATCAAATACTTTCTTCTCCTTCTTCGTCTTCTTCTCGTTATTATTATTATTATTATTGACGAAGGTCTTTGCTTTTTTTTTCTTATCTAGCAAATTCTTTCTTGTTGTTCTTCTTCTTCCTCTTATTATTAATATCATTATTATTATTATTACTGCCCAGGTTCTTTCTGCTTTTTCTTCTATACCAAATTCTTTCTTTCTTTCTTTCTTTCTTTCTTCTTCTTCTTCTTCTTCTTCTTATTATTATTATTATTATTATTATTATTGAGCAAATTCTTTCTTATTTTTTTCTTTACCAAATTATTTCTTTCTTCTTCTTCTTCTTCTTCTTCTTATTATTATTATTATTATTATTATTATTGAATGCTTTATATTTTACGGTTTATCAATCTTTTGCAGGTTAGTTAAATCCAGAAAATATTTTTAGATTCTAAGAATTTGAAGGAGATAATAATGATTTACTGATACAAGTCTTGCTATTTAACCCATAATTGGTTGGAAAAGCGGTGGATTCACAACTTTCCCAAGGATGTTTGCAAATATAACGAACCCGACTGAAATTTGAACTCGACTTTCCGAATTTAAATTCCGAGATGTTATCCATTACACCATCTGCACATCCAAGCTTACAGCACCTGGTATTATCCATGTAGATACAGACCAGGCTCGAATTTGCTTAACTACGGTGATCGGACGAGAATCTGATATGACATAAGCCTACAGACTATAGGATATCGCAGAAATACAAAAGCACACAGGCATAACAAAATATGCCTGCCAGAACCTATGCGTAATATGCCTTCCAGAATCTAAGCGGAAGATACCTTTCAGAATCTAAGCAGAATATGCCTTACAAAAACTAAGCGGATATACCTTCCAGAATCTAAGCGGAATATGCCTTACAAAATCTAAGCGGAATATACCTTTCAGAGTCTAAGCGGAATATGCCTTCCAAAATCTAAGCGTAATATATCTTTCAGAATCTAAGCGGAATATGCCTTACAAAATCTAAGCGAATATGCCTTACAAAATCTAAGCGGAATATACCTTCCAGAATCTAAGCGGAATATACCTTTCAGAATCTAAGCGGTATACGCCTTCCAGAGTCTAAGCGGAATATACCTTTCAGAATCTAAGCCGAATATGACTTCCAGAATCTAAGCGGAATATACCTTTCAGAATCTAAGCGGAATATGACTTCCAGAGTCTAAGCGGAATATGCCTTCCAAAATCTAAGCGGAATATGTCTTTCAGAATCTGAGCGGAATATACCTTTCAGAATCTAAGCGGAATATGATCTCCAGAGTCTAAGCGGAATATACCTTTCAGAATCTAAGCGGAATATGACTTCCAGATTCTAAGCGGAATATACCTTTCAGAATCTAAGCGGAATATGACTTCCAGAGTCTAAGCGGAATATACCTTTCAGAATCTAAGCGGAATATGACTTCCAGAGTCTAAGCGGAATATGCCTTCCAAAATCTAAGCGGAATATGATTTTCAGAATCTGAGCGGAATATACCTTTCAGAATCTAAGCGGAATATGATCTCCAGAGTCTAAGCGGAATATACCTTTCAGAATCTAAGCGGAATATGACTTCCAGAGTCTAAGCGGAATATACCTTTCAGAATCTAAGCGGAATATGACTTCCAGAGTCTAAGCGGAATATGCCTTTCAGAATCTAAGCGGAATATGACTTCCAGAG